GAATATGCTGTGCAATTTTGGGCACCTGTTCTAAAGAAAGATATCATGGCGCTAGAAAAAGTGCAGAGACAAGTTCCAAAATTAAAAAAAAATGATTGGGGCATTTTAGTTACAGAGAACATTTGAAATCTCTTTAGTTTGGAAAAACGGCACCTGAGAAGAGATATGATAACTAGTGATGTCCCGAACTGTTCGCCAATGGTTCGCGAATGGTTCGCCACTAAGGTTCACCGCAGACTCATCATTGAGTAAACTTTGACCCTGTACCTCACAGTCAGCAGACACATTCCAGCCAATCAGCAGCAGACCCTCCCTCCCAGACCCTCCCACCTCCTGGACAGCATCCATTGTGAAACTGCATTCTTAATGAGCTGTCCAGGAGGTAGGAGGGTCTGGGAGGGAGGGTCTGCTGCTGATTGGCTGGAATGTGTCTGCTGACTGTGAGGTACAGGGTCAAAGTTTACTCAATGATGAGTCAGCGGCAAACCTTCATGGCGAACCGTTCGCGAACCGTACGGCGAACAGTTCGGGACATCACTAATGATAACATTATACAAATATATTCGGGGTCAGAACAAACCATTATCTGGAAATCTATTCATAAACAGTGCTATACATAGGACACAAGGTCACACATTTAGACTGGAAGAAATGAGATTTCATCTAAGGCAAAGAAACTTTTTTTTTTACAGTAAGAGCAATAAGGATGTGGAATTCTCTGCCTGAAGAGGTGGTTTTATCAGAGTCCATACAGATGTTTAAACTGCAATTGGATAAATACTTGCAAAAACATAACATACAGGGATATAATTTCTATATAGTGGGGTAATAGCTGCTTGATCCAAGGAGACATCTGACTGCTATTTTGGGGCCAAGAAGGAATTGTTTCCTAGTTTGTTGCAAAATTGGAAGCGCTTCAGACTGAGTTTTTTGCCTTCTTTTGGATCAACAGCAAAAACATATGTGAGGAAGGCTGATTTGATGGACGCAAGTCTCTTTTCAGTTATGTAACTATGTAATTATGATGTTCATTGAGACAAAAGGTAGCAGGTAGTAAGAAGGCTATTCTATTAGTGAACACTTAGCAATTTGGTTAACTGATGAGATAGCTCTGTGATTTCACACAAGTTAACACATGTGGCCTACAAATTAACGCTAAACCTGGAAATATGAAACAAAGCCAGCCAGAGAGATAAATGTATCAGAAAAGTGTCAATATAACAGGTGCAAGAGATAGAATGAAAAAGAAATTAGGAAAAACAAGTCTGTATCACTCAAATAAACATACAATCACAATAAAAACACACAAAAAATTTGACAAAATGAAGCAATTTGTTTTGCATCATATTCATATTAAAATGAAATTACACAATAAAAAGAATTTGCTATTTTTTGGCTACTGCTTTAACTTGTTGATGTTTTAGAGATATTTGATATAGTTGTTATATCTAACATATGTTATTTATATAGTATCTATATATATGTATATATGTAAATCTATATGATATGAGGATTATTTCAGACCAATAAATAAACTCAACAATGTTTTCTCCTTATGTCCCTTTAGGTCAGTACTGTTTTGTTAAGTCATATTAAAAGCACTGAGAAGCAAAAAATAATGCAATCTATTACATTACTATGTATTTCGTAAATTCATTTAATTAATGAGCAATTAGTGTTTTCAATCATAATGTTCCATCAGCAGATTTAATGTGACATTTTTTCCCAGTGGGATTGTGCCTGTTATGATCTGCTCCCTATAAATAATACAGAGCTGGCAAAACGGAGAACACAACAAGGAATGTGAAAAATCGCTGTGAAATTAATCTGTAAGTAAACTCGCTGTAAGTAGTTCTAGTTTTCTAAGTGCACAGTTTTTAACATAAATGTTAGCATACATTTAATTTACACACAGAAAGCCACTACAGAGGAAATAAGATATAGAGCAAATATTCTATAGAACAGTTTGTAATCATAACTAGCTCACTGTTTCCACTATATTTAATATCATTAAATGATGTCAAGGTATACACAGGGCCAGATTAATTGCCTATTGGGCCTGGTGCTGACAATTATGATGGGCCTAATTACAGAATGTCATCTAAAGAAAACACTAAAACAGTTATACCTCCCAAGTGTCATGTATCTGGTGGAGGTTGTGCTGGAGGATATAGCTATCAGAAAACACATACCCTATGCTAATCTCTCGCATTCATCTTTCAAGCAAATCCATACACCTTGACAGCAGTATCCAGTGAAGCAGGAAGTTGGTGGGTAGGGTAAAAGGGTGACCCGCTGATGCAAAACACGTAACCAGAATGGCCAAAAGCGGCGAACATGCCCAAAAAAGGGACGTGTCTGCATGAAGAATTGGAAGGGCAACCTGGTGTGAATGCATGCAGGCTACATGCCAATCATGCATACTGGCCAGCAAAGGCCATACTATGCAGACATGATCCTGAGCTTAGCATAAATGCATCTAATGATGCACACAATCCACGCTTTTTTAGGACTGTCCCCTAGCACTCGCTGGTCCATGCCACTCCTTACCTTCTCATTAGCAGCCAGAAGCTCCTGGTATACAGTCTGGGACAGAGAAAAGGATGCCACAGTGTAAGAGAGAGTGAAGCACCAAGAGCATTTGCATAGTGCACAAAGTCAACTTTACATTAACACATTTAATTATCAGTCAGTCACACCAGTTTTGTTTCCCTACATCCCTCTTAAGTTTCACTAGTTAAGCAAGAGCAAGTGAAGAGTAGAAATTTTTATATATATATATATATATATATATATATATATATATATATATATATTTTAATCAATGGGACTATTCCATGGGATTGGGTCTGGAGCTGCAGCTACATCAGCCCCTATCTTAATCTGGCCCTGGGTGTACTATGCAAGACCTGACTGACACACCGAACATTTTATTTTATGGAAATATACTCACTCGCTATTTTACATGCAAAAATATGACTTTTGAGCAGATTATATTTTTTTCCCACCAGTTAAACAATAGGACTCATTGCTTAACCCTGGTAACTTTCAATATATCAATCAGAAGTTTATATAAACCATGCCATATATGGGACAACAGTTAAAAGTCAACAAAATAAGCATTTTCACGTCTCTGATTATATCATCTCTTTGTCTCTTTCCTTCATATTATTCTCATTTTTGTAACACATTTTAAAATTCTTCTTCTCTACGTTCTCTCTCTCTGTCAACGTTCCTTCTTATTCACTCTCTCTTACACTCCCTCTCTCCAGATTTCTCTTGTCTCTTCCTCTGTCTCCATGTCTTTGTCGCGTCCAACAGAAATATATTTACCCATATCTTCAACCATCATACAAAATCGTTCATTTAGGCCTCAAATTAATATTTTTGGATCAACATTTAAAATGGTTTAATATTTTGAAAAATATTTAAATAGTTTGATATTTTTGATATTATAATATATTTGTATATATGGCATATTTTTACGATATTTTAATAAAAAATAATTTTAAAATGTTTAGCCAAAAATATTAAAACATTTTAAAAGCTTATCTATGAATATTAAATTGGGTCCATAATTAGATGGATAATATTGAGTAGGTTTAGAGAGAACATGTTTAGGTATATCCACTATATTTCAAGGCATACAGTTTATTGAATTTACATTGATAATGTGCATGAATTATTACTGATTTGTACGAGTGACAATATCTTATTGGCCTGTAACTGCATACACATCAAAAACGTATCCTGATAAAGGTTGTTTATTGCTTGTTGGTTCCCTATCATAAAACACACAATGTTGCAATATTTATTAAATCTCATCTGCCACTTGCCTGTTTAGTCACCTTATTTATCGAAATGGTAAGAGATAACATAAAAACTACATTTCTTACCTAGTTTTGTGTCATCTGCAGACACGGATTTTTCCACCCACTGCTGGTTTGTGCTGGAGTAACTCCACCTAAGCCATACCTCCGATGAAGGATGGTTTCTTCACTAAAGTAAAAATTATCAGGAATTTACAATGAGTTCTAATTTAAGTCAAAAGCCCAGTTAGTGTTGGACCATTGGTGCCATCTACCATTTTAAAATGGTTTAGCAAAAAATGGTAGATGGCACCAATGGTCTCTAGGCACCATAACCATTAAAATGGGATAATGTGGTTATGATGCCTAGAGTGGCCTTTTAATAACCCTTGAAATAATTTCCTGAGCGCGGATGTTGAGTTCACAGATTGGGTATTTCCAGTCTGAGATGTTGATTCATGGAGAATTAATGCAGCAGAACGTTGACTTTGTCATCTTGTATTTTTAATCTCTAACCTTTAAGTTTATAGATTTAAAAGGATGAAAAATATAGACTCTAGATTAATCAGCCAGCAGTTGACATTAAATAAAAGTAAGTATTAAATTATTATTATTTTTTTATTTTACAGGGAGAAGTTTTGAAAAACTCGTATATTTAGTGGGAAGGGAGAGACAAGTGAACATTTTTTATAGATGAGTCTTAAAGCTTTATAAAAAAATAAAGTTTTACCAAATAAGTGTAAAATGAGTAAGCAGTCTTTCCTTAAGGGAACACTTCAAGTACCATAACCACTACAGCTGGAGTCAGTGGTTATGATGCCTAGAGAGCCCCCATCATTGTAAGGAGCCAAATTCTTTTCAAACTGTTTGACCTCTGACCTGGTGTCCACTGGGTGCTAAGAGAAGATGGAAGTTCCTAAGTTCCTAATTTTTATACATAACCCCATATTTTTTAGATTTAGATCATATTTAGATATTTTATGTCACTTTGTATTTTGTTCACATTTTCTTTTTTTTTCTACCAAATGCCGCGTTTAGACAAGTTAATGGCAAATCAATCTGAAGTGTTTGAATTTATTCTCATTGGATTTCCCGGACTCCCACAGAGGTTCTATAATTTTGCTTCATTGACAATGTTCCTGGTCTATATTATAGCACTGACGGCAAATGGCATTGTAATACTTCTGATTACGTTTAGAGAGCATTTACACCATCCTATGTATCTAATCATCATGAACCTGGCTCTTTCTGACCTCATCTTCGACACAATTACATTGCCCAAAGCCATAGCCATGTATTGGTTTGGAGATGGGAAGATATCCCTTGTGGCATGCATGTTCCAGTTATTTGGTGTCCATTATTTGGGATCTTTTGATTCTTTCATTATCATGCTAATGGCTATTGACCGTTATGTTGCCATTTGCAAACCGCTGAGATATTCTTCAATAATCACTAATAAAGTGACTGTTTATCTGTGCTGTCTCTTATGGCTCATTGCTGGTATGTTTGGATTGGCAACTGTTCTTTTAACTGCAAGACTCTCTTTTTGTAACAGCAAAATCAACCACTGTTTTTGTAACAATGCTGTGGTAATTCTGTTAAGTTGCGTGGACTCACATTCTAGCACACATTCCGTAGCTTTCATTCTTGCGATGATTGTGCTTCTGATACCGCTGTCTTTTATCATATTCTCATATACAATTATAATAAGGACAATTAGTACTTCAAGGGGCTCTGAAAACTGGCAGAAGGCATTTTACACCTGTTCAACACACTTGTTTGTCATTGGCATGTACTACGTCCCTAGGTTATTTGTCTACGCATGTAATCAGCTCCGCTTGATTCTTAATGCTGATTTAAACATTTTGCTTCTTTGTCTTTATACGTTTGTGCCGCATCTGGCCAGCCCAATTATATATTGTCTGAGGACAAAGGAAATTAAAAAGACTCTCAAAAACATTTTCAATAGTAACCAGCAGATCAAGGGTTCACTTTAGATCTGGGAGGCACATCTATTACACATGAAACCCATTAAATGATATCTACAAATAACAATGCAATACTTGCAATAATTATCATTCTATATTTATTTTATTTTTTTACATATGGCATAATAATGCATGCAGAATTCATCAAGATGTTTAAATGACAACCTAGCATATGATAAGACCATAAAATGTACTAGAACATTAAAATACCTTTATGACTATTCTGGATTTATACTTTTTTTTAAATTTATTTTATTCGTTATAACATTTCAGCAATGCATACCCATATGGACAGATTGAGGGATGGTCATGGATACGTGCAACTTGCAATGTCAATGTTGATAATAATGAAATAGTCTGAAAAGGATCAGTGCAGATCATCTGATAATCAGTGGAAACATGCATATGATACCTGTTCAGACCTTCTAGTTTAAGCTTAAAATATTGATGACTTGGCTATTATAGTAGAACAACATATGAGAGAAGATGATATGTTGCTGATAGTCTCTGGGAGCCTGCTTGGTTTTATGTCAAACAATTTATTAGTGGTTTGACTAAAACCAGTAGTCTTCAAAACACCTAGATCTAAGAATCTTAAGACAAACAAAGTTTGTCAAGATGAATTTCTGATAAGACTTCCAAAGTACCTGCTCTTCCAGTACTGTCTAGCTATTCATATTTTAAATATCGTATGGGAAGGTTCATCAGATCCAGACAATCGGAACTGCTCTCATTTCAACTTTTTAGCAAGCCCTAAAAATGGTATACTGAGGCTCTAACAAGATTCTGAAGTCAGCCTTTGGGCTATTAGAGTTTTTTGTGTTTTGATTTTTTTCTAAATTGTGTCAAGTGTTAAGTGTGTTTTCTTTACAGATCTCCCTTTGAAGATAATGAGGACATTAGTTGACCACAATATATTAGGCGAGCACTTTATATTTTTGATTCCAACAAGGAGTAGCTCAATGCTATGTCCTTAGCTGTTGTAAGGCTACAGCCCTGAGGAATTCACAGTTTTACTACACCATGGGAATTTACCATTCTGTTGGGCCAGTGAAGTAGGGGCATGGAGGGAGTCATGAATCCTTAACGGTAGTGCCATGAGGACTGGATATAGTATAGCATTAATGAAGGGGATGGGGGTGTAGAGGCATTGGGAAGCATTCAGACTGGGGGACTGGAAATTTCTCAGTTTGTTTATGTTATTTTTTTTAGGTGAGCAATATCAGTAAACAATTTAACTGGTAGGCTGGTAGGCACTGCCAATGGTGATTGCTTCATACAAGGTGAGTCAAGTCAAGTCTAAATAATGACCATTGACTTCCATTGTTCTCTGTGGGAGTTTCTAGCCACTACTTAGCAAATGGTTTCCAACATTGTTACTACTCATTACCAGCTGCCACAAACCCAAAAAACTCAACACTAACCTCGAGTCTGGTGGAAAGACGTTAACTTTGGAAAAATGCATGACAGCTATAAGGCAATACATTGAAAGCCTAAAGCACATATTAAAGTGTATTCAACTATATTGAAGAGCAATAAAATAAATGAAATTGTCAGACACATGATGGCAAAATAAAGTGTTTGTTTTATATATATTTGCAACTTTCACAGCAGAAATTGACCCATTAAAATACATAGATACATATCTGGCATAGCACAAATTCACAGTTTAATATATTATTAACTTTCCTTTACCTCTGTTATGGCATAAATTCAAACCAAACCCACAGGTCAAAAAACTTAAATAAAACTGTGATCAACGGGGAGATTTTAACCACAGAATGTCTCACGAAAGTGCAGTCCTCATAGCAGTATATATAGTTCTATCTAATGTATCTAAGATAACAAAATGGATACATTTCATTGGCTACATATGTATTTGCAACTGCAAGCTAAAGTCTTCTAAATATAAGCTACTCCTTAAACAGGTAAACAGAATAACAACAATAGGCAGCTATGATAATCAAATAAGTTTAACCCTTACTTCATCCCAGTTACCATTAGTTACCATTACACACATACTTATTTAGACTCTTTCCACCCTGTTCCAGTCCATCTACAAGCATAACTAAAGAATAAAAGGAGGGCAAAGAGCATCAAATATATATATAGCTAAAAACAAACAAACAGAAAAAGAGCATACAATATTATAATACTGTTAAAACATATGTGCCTTTAGCAAGCTTGATTGCTCTTATGAGATACAGGGGTTAACTGAGCTAAAGAGTGCCTCAATCAAATATCCTGGGGGGCTTAGAATTCTGATCCCCTGTGGACTCTCGGACACCATGTTTCCTGCAAGCCAAATAAATATAATATTATATATTATCCCTAATGGAACTTCAGAGACCGTTAATCACATGAAACATACATATAATAAAAGCAAAATAATGCCAAACACCCTCCCACCAAGAGTCTTATTTAAATAGCCCAAACCCTTCTTCTCCTGGGTGGCCCCATGTGAATCCTTCCTTACTGTTCATTTGTCTGGAAGTTAAAGGAATCCTATAGTGCCAGGAAAACAGAGCTATTTTCCTGGCACTATAGGTTTAATAGGTCCTCCCTGCCTCACGCACCACCCCTCCCATGGTGTTAAAGGGGTTAAAACTCCTTCAGCCACTTACCTGAATCCAACGCTGACATCCCTCGGCTCTGGGTCAGGCTCCGCCCACCCTACTCCCCCACCAACATCAGCAGTTCTCTGGAACTTCAATAATTTACATTGCAGTACTAAGTGCAATAGGGGCACAGCACCCAGATTACTTCAAATAGCTGAAGTGGTCAGGGTGAACTACAGTGTCCCTTTAAACATCTAATTTCTTGGCAAATTCTCTGAGGCTGTTGTCTATGTCGTCATATTCTGCTTTCCTTGAGGTCTTTTCTCAACAAACATTCTCTTCTCAGGTTCTGATACATTTGATTCACAAGATTACATGCAAATGCTTTCACATTGTATTCAAATCTTAAAAAATCTAGTGTCACATGCTCTCTGTCACAAATCCCCCATGTCACCGTTCCTTCCTCCGGTACTACACTTCTTTCTAATCATATAACAGTTTAAATTCTGCAATCATCTTCTTCTACCATGAACACAGTACTTACATAAAGAATTGATTGTACTCCAATAGTTCAGTAGTCATACTTGCAAAACAAATATCTTCTTGGTGAAGTGGCAATACAAAATGTAAGACAGGCCTTGCTCTAGCTCGACCATCACAACATTGTATACACTGCTAAGAGAATTACAAGGTGCCGTACGCATGTTCAGGTTGAGTCTTTTTTACCTAAAATGTGTGGTTGCTATGGTGACAACATACGCAACATGTGTTTCTGTGCTTTATCACTTGGTACCTGATTTGCCACTAACTGTTATGTAGAATCCTGTCCATAAATTTCTTCTCTGCTTATTAATGCTATTGTTTACCAACAGTTTGTGGCTGTAATTTACTGACCAGGTTGGGTCCATTCTGTGTCTTTGCACTTTCTTGCCACGTCTTGCCAGCCCTTTTATTTGTTGTCTGAGGACTAGAGAATTTAAAAAGACTTGCAAAAGTGTATTCAACAATTACCAGATCCAGGGTCAGCTTGTTTGCAGCCTTTTAACGCACTCCACTTCTTCCAAGCCCTGACTTTATGTGGTTATCCATTCACATAATACCCAATGCAGCTCATTCAGAAGTCATGTGCTCTTGGAAGTGACCTGCCTCTTGAGTTAACTCAGACAGATATACTGTATACTGTCTAAAGCTTTTCATTCCCCACATTTAATTTTTTTTTTTTATATAAAGAATGAATGAACAAGCAAAAATAGAATTTGGGTACTATTACATATTTTTCATTTATGTTTGTCTGCAAAGCAATCTATATGCAATATTGCTGTGTGTTACAATGTATCTATATTTATCTAGCTATGCATCCCTGCCTTTATATAAATGTCATGCTAATATTTATACAATAAAAATGTGCTCGGTAGTGAAGAGGTTAAAGAAGCTGTGAATCTATCACTGTTCTCACAATACACTTTCTATATCTGATCTCACATTTCTAATTCCTCATATATAACTCCTGTGACTAATACTGACGTCAAAATGGATCTTCTGAATTTATTACTGCAATCACAATAAAACATAAAGTATCTATAAACTGATGTCACAATATAAGGTCATGTATCTACTACTGATGTTATAATAAAACATATTACTGAAATCACAATAAAAGTAAAAAATAATGATAAATCACAATACAAGTAATATATCTATTACTGATACCAGACTAAAAATAATGCATCTGTTACTGCTGTTACAAAAAAGAAAAAACATAATGTATCTATTATTGCTATCACAATAAAACATAACGTATCTATTATTTATATCACAATAAAAGTAACATATAGCTATTACCAGGGATATTGGAGCTTTAATCATTGAACTCACCAGAGACATGGAAACATTCTTTAACAGACTGCACGCTCCGATTTTCAGCAATATGGCCAATTTTTGGGTCAATCAGTTCTTTCAAATTACCAAATTCTTAGCTAAAATGAATTCAACGTATGGACTTCTCAAAACGCTAAGTGCCTATCTATCTTATTGTGTCCTACCAGTTAAAATATGTAAAATATAAAGGGCTGTAACTTCACATTCAAACATATTGTTACAGCGTAGTGAAGGTGAAGTAAGGGGCTACTCGTTAAGGTAAACTGTTATTTGAGGAAAATTCTGAAATATACCGGGATTTACCCTTAATCTGCAATTATAATTTAGTAAAGGAATTATCTCTTAAAAGGTCAGAATGACATAGAATGTGCAGTAATTCATAATGTATCAAGCACCCAGTGCCACGAATGGACAGTTAAATGAATCTAAACAAGTATACTTTATATTATCAAACAAACCACAGTTATCCCACAATCTAAATGGAGTCTGCACAGTTATATAGTGAAGCTTTTGTGGAGTATGATGAATAAATTCTTAATTTAAAGAACAACTGAGAATAAGCAGGATTGAATGTTTAATGCAAGTCCACACAATTAGCAATGTAAGAAGTGATCAACCCACATTCAGAAATTTCAAGTAAGTTCCTGATTTATGATTCCAAAAGATCAGGAACTGTTTAGCTCCCAATTGGCTTGTATAGCTGGTAGTTTTTATGGCTCCATATATGTCCACTTCCTCAGATGGCTACATGTTGGCATTGGAAAAAATCTACTTAAAGCACACTCCCTATCAATTTAGAGACATGGAACTAAATAGGACACAGGGCCATCATGAATGCTAGGCAAATGCTCTACCTGGTATGACAGGAAGTGCTTATTGAGACCACCGAACAGCTTCCTGTCAGACTTGTTAGAGGAAACAGAAGATGCTCTACCACAGTTCGTGGTTCAGCCATGCTACATGAAGGAAAGGAGCTGGCTTGGCAAAAGGCACACAGAGGGCTGACAGGCCAAATAGGTACACAGAAAGACTGTGTGGGTAACAAAGACACACACAAGGGCTGGGAGGACAAAGACACAGAAGGTATTGGGGACAAAGAGATAGAGAGGGGCTTGGGAGGACAAAGACACAAAGGGCTGTTGGGGACAAAGAGACACAGAGGGGAAAATACCCACAAAGATCCACAAAGGTAATGGGGGAAGATACACAAAGGGGTTTGGGGACAAAGAGACACACAGATGTGCTTGGGGGTAAAGAGACACCTAGACAGAGAGCCACACAAAGGGCACGGGGAACAAAGGGCATGGGGAACAAAGGGAAACAAAAAAGGGGCTTGGAAGAAAGACACACATTTTTCAAATATCTCTTTACTTCTATATTCACACCAGCTTACCCCATACACTGCCATGGTAATTCTATATATATTTGCAAATACAAATACACTGTGACATTCTAGAAAATATCATGAAATCTATATTAACAAGAAGCAACTGTGATTCTTGGTAATTAGTAATAGTATGATATATCCCTTATGAAATGTGTAATATTATGTCTGGTTATGCTCTCCAGGACAATTTCCATAAAAGCCCCAACCACTCTGGCAATAAAACTTGTATATTTATTACTGACGTCATGTGGGAGCCATATTTCAATCAGTGATTCCATAACAAAGTCCTTGGTTTATCACTGACTGCTGGGTGTGTTGTAATAAAACTCCCGGTTCTATTACTGAAAGTTCAATAAAATGTCTGGAACTGTTATTTGCCTCTCAGTGCAATCTCTGGGTAGAATAGTAATGCGGCAATAAACAAACTATATTTATTACTGATCTCACAATTAAACCAATGTCACCTCTTTAAAATGTCACTGCTAGAACGTCTTGGTGTTTTATACAACTTACAATAAAGCTACTGCATTTAATACATATATCACTAATATAGGAATATTGCAGCATTACAAACCTGTGTTCCTAACATGTACTCTTCCTATTCCTACTTGATTTAAAGGACCGCTACAGGCACCCAGACCACTTCAGCTTAATGAAGTGGTCTGGGTGCCAGGTCCAGCTAGGGTTAACCCTTTTTTTTTATAAACATAGCAGTTTCAGAGAAACTGCTATGTTTATAATAGGGTTAATCCAGCCTCCAGTGGCTGTCTCTTGACAGCTGCTAGAGGCACTTGCGTGCTTCTCACTGTGATTTTCACAGTGAGAAGATGCCAGCGTCCATAGGAAAGCTTTGTGAATGCTTTCCTATGGACTGGCTGAATATGTGTGCGGCTCTTGCTGTGCATGCGCATTCAGCCGAAGAGGAGGAGAAGAGGGAGGAGAGGAGGAGGAGAGCTCCCCGCCCAGTGCTGGAGAAAGAGGTAAGTTTAACCCCTTCCTCTCCACAGAGCCTGGCGGGAGGGGCACCCTCAGGGCACTATAGTGCCAGGAAAACGAGTATGTTTTCCTGGCACTATAGTGGTCCTTTAATGCCCTTCATGTGCAATTAACAAAATGTAACGTTTTAATAACCTTTTTCCAGAGCCTCAGCATTGCAGATCTGGCAGCTTCCTGTTTTGTCATAGATGAGGCATTGCCTCTGGGTTGGTCCTCTAAAAGATATTTTTCAATAATCAACAAAAGTGGCGGTTTCTCTTTGCTCTCTTTTATAGCTCATTGTAGCTTTTTCTGCAATGCCTGGTATTATTTTAACTGCACAGCTGTCTTACTGTTCATCAAACAACACAATAAAAAAAAAATGTTTGCACCGTCTCATCAATGCTTTCATTGTCCTGTATCGACTCATTTCCACCAGAAGAGTTTTATACGTGGTTGTTATAATTGTACTTCTGACTTTTATTATATTCTCATACATCGCCATAATAAGGACAGTCTGTTTATCTGGACAGAATGGAAACCGGCAGAAAGTCTTTTACACCTGTTCAACACACCTGTTTGTCATTGGATTGTACTTCATCCCTCGATTATTCGTCCGTACGTCTAATCAGCTCCGTTTGATTCATGATGCTGATCTAAATGTCTTTCTTCTTTGTCTTTACAGCTTTGTGCCACATTTTGCCAATCCCATTATATATTGTCTGCAGACCAAGAAAATCAAAAGTGATCTTGGAAAAATCCTCAGGTTGTAGCCAGTACCAGGGTTAGTTCTAGATCTATGTCACTAATTGTTCACTATGCATGGATATAAATTAACTATATACAAATAACCCTCTATATATCTCATGCTCCAGTAGTTTGTCAGTACTCAATGTGTTTCTCAATCCTATCAAGAATTCAGGGGCATTGTCTTGTAATTAATTGTTCAGTCTCAAAGCAGAACATTAAGTTCTGGTTGCTAATTTAAACCACAGAAAATAATCTTCTTGGGATCACTACAAAGGTTTTATAGCTCTTCTTTCCTTGGCTATAGGATAAGTGATATAAAAGAGTCTAATAAAATACATGTTTATCGGCAAGGTGAGTCAAAATGGTCATATCTGCTTTTTTTAGCTTGTGATGAATTAGTTCATTGATTTTATTTTTTTTACGTTAAATATTTTGGATGTATATTTCAGTATCTGTACTTGAACTAATTATGATATAAGTTCAGATAAAAACCCAAAGCACATATGCAAACTGTGGCTTTTCAGAACTCCGAAGTTTCACGGTACTAGATGCTACTCTGACTCTCCTGTGCACACCTTGTCTTGACTTGACATCATGTCTAATATGTCTTAAACTGGTTCATGGATTGCGGGATAAAACTTACCAGGAAAGGTTAAAGGATCTTAACATGTATAGCTTGGAGGAAAGACAAGACAGGGGGGATATGATAGAAACATTTAAATATATAAAGGGAATCAACACAGTAAAGGAGGAGACTATATTTAAAAGAAGAAAAACTACCACAACAAGAGGACATGGTCTTAAATTAGAGGGACAAAGGTTTAAAAATAATATCAGGAAGTATTACTTTACTGAGAGGGTAGTGGATGCATGGAATAGCCTTCCAACTGCAGTGTTAGGGGTTAACACAGTGAGGAAGTTTAAGCATGCATGGGATAGGCATAAGGCTATCCTAGACTTAAGATAAGGACAGGGACTAATTCAAAGTATTTCAAAATATTGGGCAGACTAGATGGGCCAAAAGGTTCTTAACTGCCTTCACATTCTATGTTAAATCCTCCCCACAGGTCTCCCCATTCCTCCATGGTGGGGAACACAAATAACTAAAATGGGGGGACATGGTGCCCGTGGGTGGGGACCTTAATTAAGTAAATAATGGGGGGACCTAATGGTATAAAGTATAAAGAATATCATGAGTTACCCAGATTAATATTAATCAGATAACAATCTAGGAAATATTTATCAGATAAGAATTGTTTTAACTAAACCTGCAAGAATTTAGTTACTGGATGAATTAATTAATCATAATTAATTACTATGTGAAACAGCAGTGAGCTAGTTAAAATCCTGTATGAGTTAAAAGCTTAAACTGACTTGTCGGCACTGAGCTGATTCAAATTCTGTGGCTAGCTGAATTGTCCTTAGAACTTTGTGTAACTTGTTTTACAATCTATGTCCAACTAAGTATAATGGAATGGTGTTTACAATAGACAAACAATCCGTAAATCTTAATAAGAGTAAATAAGATTGTATTCTTTAACCCCTTAACGCTGTTACGGCGTTCTATGCCGTCGCGGCTTTAAAGGGCTTTAAAGCCGTTGCAGGGGCATAGAATGCCGTAACGGCTTAAGCCCCCAGGTTCTCGGCGGTACTTACCTCCAACGCGATCCTCTTCTGGAGGGCTGCCTGACAGCCCAGGCAGCCCTCCCCCGGCGAATGAGGCCATATGATCGCTCTTAAAGAGCTGGCTGTGGATCTGCCAGCAGGGGGACTGTCTAAAATATCAGACAGTCCCCCTGCTGGTGGGAAGTAATACAAAAAAATTAAACATGTTTAAAAATAAATTAAAAATATTTTTATATATATAATATATGTATACATATTATATATATATATATATATATATTATATATATACATATTATATATGTAACATCATACATAGTGTATTTTAATACTAATATTAGTATATATATTAATATTAAAATACACTTAGAATGAAGTTACATATATATAATATGTATATATATTATATATATAATAGATATATACACATATATATATATATATATACACACGTATAATTACAATAATAAATAGATTAAATAATAAAATAAATAAAATATTGAAACAAAATTTAATATAAATTATATATTCATATGTAATTTCATTCTAACTGTATTTTGTTATTAATATATATATATATATTGGTAACAAAATACACTTAGAATGACATTCTATATATATCTATCTATATATAAAATACAAATAACCGCAAATAAATATATATAGATAAATACATATAATTACATAAAAGATTACATTAGTATACCATATAATTTAAATACCTATAAATGCATATATATTAAAATTCTACATGTATATTTAAGTAATCTTTTAACATAATTATGTGATTTGATTAATTAAAATTTGATTGACATGCCTGACAACACAGGGAGAAAGTGCAGAGAATTTAATTCGCAAGCACTATATTTGACCCTGTAACTCTCCAAGACTCCATAAAACCTGTATATAGGGGGTACTGTTTTACTCGGGTGACTTCGTTGAACTCAAATATTAGTGTTTAAAACTGGTAAATTGTATTACAACGATGATATTTTAAGTAAAAGTGAAGTTTTTGCATTTTTTACAAACAAATGTCACGTTTATGGACTATATTATTGTTGTAATATGTTTTACTGTTTTAAAACACTAATATTTGTGATTAGTGAAGTCTCCTGAGAACAACAGTACCCCCCATGTACAGGTTTTATGGTGTTTTGGAAAGTTAGAGAGTTACAGATAAGGCTTGCATTTCATTTTTTTGACATTGAAATTTGCCAGATTGGTTATGTTGCCTTTGAGAGCGTATGGTAGCCCAGGAATAAGAATTACCCCCATGATGGCATACCATTTGCAAAAGTAGACAACCCAAGGTATTGCAAATGGGGTATGTCCAGTCATTTTTAGCAGCCACTTAGTCACAAACACTAGCCAAATCTCAGTTGTTTGCTTTTTTTCACAAAAAAACAAATATGAATGCTAACTTTGGCCAGTGTTTGTGACTAAGTGGCTACTAAAAAAGACTAAACATACCCCACGATCAATACCTTGGATTGTCTACTTTTTCAAATGGTATGCCATTATGGGGGTAATTCTCATTCCTGAGCTACCACACTATCTCAAAGGTAACATTACTAATCTGGCAAATGACCTGTAACTTTCCAAAACACCATAAAACCTGGTAATGGGGGGTAACATTGTACTCGTGAGACATCGCTGATTATAAATATGTGCATTATTTTGCAGTAAAACCTAACAGTATTATGACATTTACAGCTAAAATGTGAGGCGAAACTACAAATATTTAAAAAAAATTAACATTTCTCACAGTTTTTTTAATTTTATTCATAATAAATTATGTTTCATATATAAATATTTGATATGAAATGAAAGCCCTGTTTCTCCTGAACAAAATGTGGGTGCATTTAATATGAAAGAGGTGAATTATGGTTGAACAGACATATAGCGCAAATTCCAGTTTTTGTTTACGTTTTGTTTTGATCAGAACGTGTACTATTGACTCCGTCCTGAAGGGGTTAAAGGGACACTATAGTCATCTGAACAACTTCAGCTTAATGAGGTTGTTCAGGTGAGAACCATTCAGGGCCAATACAAACCATTGTGTGGAAATCTATTCACAAACCGGACTTTACATAGGACACGAGGCCATGCGTTTAGACTGGAAGAAAGAAGATTTTGTCTAAGGCAAAGGAAAGGTTTTTTTACTGTAAGAACAATCAGGATGTGGAATTCTCTGCCTGAAGAAGTGGTTTTATCATAGTTCATACAGATGTTCAAACAGCTACTAAAAGCATACTTGCAAAAACAGAATATTCAAGGATATACAGGGAGTGCAGAATTATTAGGCAGGTTGTATTTTTGAGGATTCATTTTATTATTGAACAACAACCATGTTCTCAATGAACCCAAAAAACTCATTAATATCAAAGCTGAATATTTTTGGAAGTAGTTTTTAGTTTGTTTTTAGTTTTAGCTATGTTAGGGGGATATCTGTGTGTGCAGGTGACTATTACTGTGCATAATTATTAGGCAACTTAACAAAAAACAAATATATACCCATTTCAATTATTTATTATTACCAGTGAAACCAATATAACATCTCAACATTCACAAATATACATTTCTGACATTCAAAAACAAAACAAAAACAAATCAGTGACCAATATAGCCACCTTTCTTTGCAAGGACACTCAAAAGCCTGCCATCCATGGATTCTGTCAGTGTTTTGATCTGTTCACCATAAACATTGCGTGCAGCAGCAACCACAGCCTCCCAGACACTGTTCAGAGAGGTGTACTGTTTTCCCTCCTTGTAAATCTCACATTTGATGATGGACCACAGGTTCTCAATGGGGTTCAGATCAGGTGAACAAGGAGGCCATGTCATTAGATTTTCTTCTTTTATACCCTTTCTTGCCAGCCACGCTGTGGAGTACTTGGACGCGTGTGATGGAGCATTGTCCTGCATGAAAATCATGTTTTTCTTGAAGGATGCAGACTTCTTCCTGTACCACTGCTTGAAGAAGGTGTCTTCAGGAACTGGCAGTAGGACTGGGAGTTGAGCTTGACTCCATCCTCAACCCGAAAAGGCCCCACAAGCTCATCTTTGATGATACCAGCCCAAACCAGTACTCCACCTCCACCTTGCTGGCGTCTGAGTCGGACTGGAGCTCTCTGCCCTTTACCAATCCAGCCACGGGCCCATCCATCTGGCCCATCAAGACTCACTCTCATTTCATCAGTCCATAAAACCTTAGAAAAATCAGTCTTGAGATATTTCTTGGCCCAGTCTTGACGTTTCAGCTTGTGTGTCTTGTTCAGTGGTGGTCGTCTTTCAGCCTTTCTTACCTTGGCCATGTCTCTGAGTATTGCACACCTTGTGCTTTTGGGCACTCCAGTGATGTTGCAGCTCTGAAATATGGCCAAACTGGTGGCAAGTGGCATCGTGGCAGCTGCACGCTTGACTTTTCTCAGTTCATGGGCAGTTATTTTGCGCCTTGGTTTTTCCACACGCTTCTTGCGACCCTGTTGACTATTTTGAATGAAACGCTTGATTGTTCGATGATCACGCTTCAGAAGCTTTGCAATTTTAAGAGTGCTGCATCCCTCTGCAAGATATCTCACTATTTTTGACTTTTCTGAGCCTGTCAAGTCATTCTTTTGACCCATTTTGCCAAAGGAAAGGAAGTTGCCTAATAATTATGCACACCTGATATAGGGTGTTGATGTCATTAGACCACACCCCTTCTCATTACAGAGATGCACATCACCTAATATGCTTAATTGGTAGTAGGCTTTCGAGCCTATACAGCTTGGAGTAAGACAACATGCATAAAGAGGATGATGTGGTCAAAATACTCATTTGCCTAATAATTCTGCACTCCCTGTAATCTTTCAATGTAGGGTAATAACTGCTTGATCCAAGGATAAATCTGACTGCCATTCTGGGGTCAAGAAGGAATTTTGTTTCCTAACTTGTTGCAAAATTGTGATTCAAACTGTTTTTTTTTGCCTTCTTTTGTATCAACAGCCAAAAAACAAATGTGAGGAAGGCTGAACTTGATGGATGCAAGTCTCTTTTCAGCTATGTAACTATGTAACTATAGCTCCCTGCAGCCTTTCTCAAGGAAACACTGTATTTTCTGAGAAAATACAGTGTTTACATTGAAAGCTAGGAACACCTCCAGTTGCAGTCACTCAGAATGAACCAAAGGGACTTCGGGGGGTAACATCCACTCAGATCTGCTGTCAGCAGAGCACAGGGCAGCACTGTGCACA